AATAGGTCCATTTCAAAATCCACTTTAATTATCTAAACCGTTCACATTTTAAAATATATAAAATATAACATATTTATAAAAAATCAATTTAATCAAATATCGTTAACCCTTTCATCCATTTACATTCGTAAATAATAATTATGATTTAAAATATCAAAATGTGAGTTGATGAAATGATTAACGATATCCATTTAATTTAATTTTTTATAAATATATTCTACTCGATGTCTACTCTAAAATGCAAACGGTTCGATTTGATTGCACAACAGTAGTTGCTGTACTAAAATCCCTCTTGAGGTCTCCATTGAAAAGGAATATGAACCCATTAGATAGTGTTACCTAACACGCATTCCTCATCAAGTCAATGATTTGTTTTTGAACATTTTAAGGTTTATTATTCATCATGTCAATGATTTTTCTTGAAACATTTTAAAGTTTAATACAAGATTGTCTGTTTACTTTGCAAAAGATCTATATTATATTTCTTGGCTAGACAACGGCTCTCATACTGATATTTTCCATAATATCGTCTCTGGTCTTCCTTTTCGCCCTGTTTCCCCGTTCTCACTATTTTCGAACATCATCACAAACTGTAACTAATCTTTTCCCTAAAGAAGCTAATCAAAAGAACAAAACAACACAATACAAAGCCGTATCGGTGGGCCATTCATACTATATGAAACAATGAAAAAGAAACTGAGGAATAGGTTAAAAATTGCAGTAGAATCAAATGGAGTGCTTGAGGAGAGCTTGACACCGAGTACTAGGTTTGAAGTGAGAAAAAGATTGATAGGAGTACACAAAAGTTTCATACAAACTAGCATAGTGCAAGTAAGAAGAGTCTTTGAGTAAATTGCATTTCCACATAAATATCTTAAATTTTGTAAGTCCAAAAAGAGCATAGATAATGGATTGAGAGTGACAATTTTATGGGATTCTACATGGAGCAATAAATGATCCGATTGATAGCCAGTTCCTTGCACAAGATTGAAACATGATGCCAATCTCTTTGGCGTACAAGTAGGAGAAAGCGGTGTGAGGGTACCAGTTTACAGCATCTCTTGTGACTTTCTCACACAGCGACTGACTTTCTTCTTAAAATCATCCCTTCTCTCTCTCCATTCTTTCTGCAGTTAGACAAATCAAACATGGGAACATGGGTTAGAGACCAATTGAGGCAAACTGAAACAAGAAAAGAGAAAACGTGTCATGGCACAGAAAACCAATCAACGAGCAGAGAACATTTTACAGAGAAAGCTATGATGCCAGATCTTAAAGAAGTAGGACAGATCGCACATGAACGATGCAAGTCCAAAGTGTAATAGGGTACATTTAGAGGCATGTCCAACACGTGTCACACAAGGACATGGCATGTAAGGAGGTATGTCCATGCTTCCTAGCCCTTGTACAAATATGAAAAATATTTCGGAGTACTCACTGCAGCTTCCACGTTTGCTGGAGACTCGTCATTAGGACTTGAAAGCATTGATATGATGCTCAAAACTATGCTCTCAACCTGCAAAGTAGATTCTCATCAATCATTCTACATAATGCAGGATACAATAGAGAAAAATCAACGACATAATGGTGAATGTATTTACTAAAAGAAAAAAGAGGTAGCAAATCATGTAATTATCTGATCAAACAAGCAAGAAAATAACTGGAATAAGGTTGCTATAAGTCACAACAAAGCAAAGTACGATACATAAAATATTGATGGATACCTCAAAAACAAAGAAAAATAAAACAAATAAATAACTATGTGGAGTCTGAGTAATGTGTGCACAAAATCAACATCTTCAGTGTAATAATGTATTTTCCCAAACGATAGAAAACTCACTAAACCCTAGATCCAAGCATTGGAGAGACACTCCAAGGGCCCTACTCGCTGAACCCTAACACCTTCTGCTGTGACAATGAAACAGTCACAACCATTTGGAGAGATATTAATTCCAGTTAGGAAACATTTAGCTTCTAACCAATTTTCAGCAGTTACTTCTACAAAATAGAACCAGAGAAACAAGACAGCAACAGAATCTACAGCAAATGATTCCAACAGAATTCATGCCCACGCTTCTTTAGAATTTTATGACTCCAGCAGGACTTAAAATGTCAATTAGCTGTTATTAATCAGCAACAGATTTAAGGGATAGACAATCAAAATCGACACTATGCACTATTTCACCTGAAATCTAAATAGTTGTAACTTGTAATAGAAATATGGTGTGCCAGCAGCAATATAACATGGAACATTGAAAGCATTTAGAGTAGGCTCAATAAGATTGATCAATCAGACTATATACAGCTACTCCCAATAAATCGATCAATGGTTTTCCCTTTCAACCTGTTTAGTTTAAATTTTTATATCTAGTGGCACACACCAAGTTTCTAACCACATCATGTATTCAAATAAATATTTCAATAGAAATAAGAACATGAAACAAGGAAAAAATTCAAAGGAATTATGAATAAACCCTCAACTTAAGGTTATAAATTATAATCAACAGCCTTTTAAATCCAGGGGCCATTGGGAGAAACTAGGTTTTATTTACACCGCACCTAACAATACAATATCATACAGATTTCAGACAAAATTGCTGAAGCAATTAGGAGGACCTTGGATAAAGCATTTGAAGTCCGAATTAAACTCTATGTGGGTGTCAGTGTTGGTGGGGGGGAATTAGCAAGGAATGCCAACCAGAGACCTCCTTTAGTATAGCATTAAGATGACAAATTAGTTCCCTTTCCTCTAGTAAGACAGGAAACAACTTCAACTTTCATTAAGGGTTTATTCACTACTTAATGGTTGTAATAAATTAAGTTTTAGCATCTAAAAAAATTTGAAAATAAAAAAGCTCCAGTTTTCCGTGCACCCATGGGACAAGGCATAATACTACAAATATAACTACAACCCCAACTCAACTCAAGCAGGCACTTCTAAACTAAAGTTGTGCTAGGGTTAGAAACGAGCACCTCAATATGAGCTTGAAATGAATCCCACACAGTCATTGCACGGTTTAGTCCAGCCCAATTCTCAATATTCTGCCCTTATACTTGGCCATCAAACCAACTTATCTGGTCCAAGTTGCACTGCCAAGTGTCATCGGATGGAAAAGCCATTATGTGAATGCAAGTCACCAGATGCATATTCCTTTATATAATTATTATTTTTCTATGCAAACCACGTATAATTCAGGATGGAACTGCCACTATACGAAATCACTTGCAGCCCTCAAGACAACGTGTCTGATACAACATGGGCTGTTTGGGAAGTGAAATTTTAGCCTAATTTAGGCCTCGTTTGGCAAGTGGCTGTTTTAACCAAAAAGTCAAAAAGTCATTAAAAAAACCAAAAAGCCAAAAGCCAACAATTCATATAAAAAAGTCAAAGATTCCATTTTCTCTCTACTTTTTGCACATCTTTTCATAAAAAGTCAAAAAGTCATCCCAAACATACTAGTTTTTTTTACCTCACATTTTAGCTAAAAAACCAAAAAGTTAATAAAAAAGCCTGTTCCCAAACGAGGTCCAAGCTAAAATTAAAAGTCATTAAAAAAACTAAAAAGCCAACAACTCATATAAAAAAGTCAAAGATTCCATTTTCTTTCTACTTTTTGCACATCTTTTCGTAAAAAGTCAAAAAGTCATCCCAAACATACTAGTTTTTTTTACCTCACATTTTAGCTAAAAAACCAAAAAGTTAATAAAAAAGCCTGTTCCCAAACGAGGTCCAAGCTAAAATTCACAAAAAGACATAATGGGCTAAAATAGCCAATGAGACAAAATGTCCCACCAAACCAATAATCATTTCACTTTTTTTCTCACAAACACCACATCCAACTACAAAAAAATCCAATCATCTTCCCAAACACAAAAATTTTAGCCTATTAAAATAGTCAAAAACTAAAATAACCTATTAAAATAGCAACTTCCCAAACACCCACAATATACAAATTATAGTACACATACCATGAACATTTCCGCACATGTGCCTATAAAAAATAAATGAAGTAAATTATGAAGCCAAAGAATTGGTAAGTCACACAAATTACTTAAACTTACTGGTTGGAGGAAGCAAAACAACTCAGCAGATCTAAAAGGTTCAAGAAGAACGGGAAAGAAAGAAAAAAAAAAGACTAGCAAACAAACCAACTAAATCAGGTAGACAGAAATTGATACAAAGGAGAAAAGAAAAAATCAAATGCCCTGTGAATTTTAAAATAATGTGCAACCAGTATATATAACATGACACAAACAGAAGATGCCGTAGAAACATGTTCTCATTCTCATAATACCGTATGAACTGGCGTCCATCGCTCACTCGCAAGTTCATAGCCATTTGGGTCCTCACCAGGTGGATGAAGAATTGAAATGCATACTTTTCCATCGGTATAAACTGTAATCATACATCAAGCTTGAAGCAATCAACCAACATAAAGAGCGCACAATAAGTACATAAGACTAAAAACATAATGAACCACTAACCATTTGGATGCCATACATCTGAAGTAAACCTCACTGTTGGAGGGCTATTTGGATAATTCAATGGGAAGGTCATGATTGCATTAAAGAATCCTCCTTCACTTCAAGATTTTGGCAAACACAAAACAAAATGAGAACACACTTTGTTCAGAACAATATGGCTACTTTAACAAAGAGATCATTGCTGGTCTAAATTAGGGTAATAATTGATTAAGAAAATAGAAGGAATGGAAAAACATCAGCAGGAGTGTTCATGGGTAAGTTTGGTTCGGTTTGACACTAAATTTAGAACCAACTCAATCATGATCAGTTCCAAGTTTTTGGATCTAGAACCAAGTCAATCATGCACTAGAACCAACCCCATCCAATCCAACCCAATGTAGCTCGGGTTGATTCGGGTTAGAAACTATGGTTCCACTATATTAAAAATAAGTGAATCAATCAATAATAAATCATTAAAATAAACAAGTCTTTAAAATTTAAACATAACACAAACAAAAAGCAAAATGTTGTTTAATACAAGGCAATACAAATTAAATTCAACTCAAGCTTAAACATAAGCTGTACAAATTAAATCCAGTAATACAACCAATATAAATTAAATCAACTATGAAAACCAATTCAAACTTCTAGTATTTATTTCGTTCACCTAATAATTCTTATGTGAGATTTATTAGGTGCAATCAAGTCTATTATGATAAAGCAATTACGTGAAAACTTGTCAATATAAATAAAATTTTAAAATATATTAATGTTCTCAGTTCTCGGATTGGTTTGGTTTAGGCTTCGGTTGATGATTTGAAAACCCAGAACAAAACAAATGCACTCAAAAACCAAAACCAACACAACCCAAAAAGGTCGGTTTGGTTCAGTTCTCCGGTGCACTAATGTCAAGGACCACTCAATTACAACTTGACAAATAACTTCTCGAGCCACAAGTTCCAATTGGGTGCTTGGCTTTGGTTGATGATTTATAAGGGAAATGATACATTATCCTGAACCAACGCCTAAAAACCAAGTTGGCAAAAAAAATCTAAATTCGAAGTTCAAAAACAAAGACAATCCATAGTGATTTACCTATAATGAGGGATTCCGCAATTAAATGTACCCCTAAATCCCCAAACCAAGCACCCAAATCAAACAAAACCACCAATATTTACCATCGGAAAAAAAAATCAAAATAACCCAATTTTGATAATTAAAAACAACCCAAAACCCAAACTGAGAAAATAACAGAAACCCTCAACCAATCATTCAATCTACCAAAACCTAAGCGAACAAACATCACATTCAAACAATCAAGACTCTCAATTGCACTCACAAGTAACAAACAAAAAGCAAGATCCAATCTTTAAACAATTGAGCAATAAAGAGCACTCACTATAAAGTATCCGGAGGTCCGATAATGGTAACACTCCATTCGAATAAATTGTTTTCATCAACCAAACCGGCCGAGAATCCATCAACTGGATTTTTACAGAGATCTGCGCAGACATAAAAACCGATCGATGAATTGAATAATTGAAACCCAAAATAAAAACCCTAGAATTGAATCAATTGAAAAATTGATTGGTACCTTTGAGCTGTTTTTGGAGGAGGAGGATTGCTTGAGATGGAGAAGCCATAGGAAACACTAAAAAAAAGGAGAAATTCCAGAAAGAAAGAGAGATTCTTGGGTGGCTAAAGGGATGGGAGGGAAAAAAACAAGAAAATCAAAGATTAGCTTGTTGTGTGTAGGCTTTTATATAATCATACAATTCTTATATATACACAGAGAGAGAGAGAGTGTGGCGTCTCACTGTCTCTCTCTGTCTCTCTCTGTCTAGGGTTATGAGGAAGAAGGGTAGCTGTAAAGGACAAATTATACAATTCTCCTACTTGAGTAAGGTGGTTTTTGGAAAGTACCTTTTTTAATTTTTTTTTAAAAAATAATATTAAAAAATAAAATATATTAAAATAATTAATAAAATAAAATCTCACATCAAATTTATAATTATTTACTTTTTTTTTCACAAATATTACATTTAATTATAAAAAAATTTAATTATCTTTTCAAATATAAAAATTTTAACTTCTTAAAATAATCAAAAACTAAAATAATTTATTAAAATAGCAACTTCTCAAACACTCATTATATCTAGTTGATGTTTTAAATCAATAGTAGTGATTGATTTGAATTGTGTGACCTATTATTTTTGTCTTATAATTTCAAAAAATAAAACATTTTTATCAATTTATAAATAAAATACAGTAATGCTCTGAATCGTTGAATAATTGCTTTCGAAGAAGAGGGTGGGTTTGGATCTTTATTAAAGGTTGAAAGAAAAAGGAAATAAATATAAAGTAGTTTATTCTCTTTTGTGCATAGTGGTGGTGGACAAATATTGGTCACATTATATGGTATGAATAGTTGTTATTTTTTTTAAAAAAATATATATGTTTAAGGATAAATATGTATTATAAAAGAATAATTTAAAGTTAAAATTATAATTAAAATATGATTTTAATTTTTTATTTTAATAATATTGACGCTATTATTTTATAAAATTATTACTTGAATACTTATACTCTCCCGTTCTAAAATAAAAGTATTTTTGGGGGAATCTAATTTTTTTTATAGTATAATTATTGCACTTTAAAAATATTAATTTTTTAAAATTACCCTTTATAGTACATTTTTTTGAGAATATAAATTGTCATAATTGTATTTTTTGTGTTGTTAATAAATTTTAAAAAAAGAGCAAAATAAAAAATTTATATTATTTTAATTCTTAATTTTTGAAAAGTGACCAATATTTTGGGATAATAAAAAATGAAATAAGGAGCTAATATTTTGACACGGATGAAGTATATATTAATTTTATTTAAATTATTTGTGTATTTTGATAATTTTAGTTCTATCGTATTATAAATATATAATTATCATATAATAATTTTATATGATATATATTAAATTATAAAATATTAAAATAAATAATTATTTTGACATTAAAAATAATAGTTAAATTAGATGAAGAATTAATAATATAAAATTAAAAGTAATTATAACTATTTAATTTTATTTTAGATTCATTTGGAAAATAAAAATATGTAGAAAAATAAATTGTTTAAAATTTATTAAAAAAATCAAATATATATATATATATATATATATATATTTTTTTTTACAGAAAATATCTCTCTGTTTGTTAGGAGTTTTTGTTGTTCCGAAAGTCTTTGAGAGGGGAGGAAATGAACTATAAACTAAAAAGAGAGTTGCCACGTATTTTTTAAAATTATGAGAATTTTAGAATATCATTTTGAAGGCTTTTGGAAACACCACTATATTCTATTATATATATAGTATAGATTTCATCATAACAAAACCCAATGTTATACTAACAAAATTTTGAATTACAAATTCCTCAAATTTATCCTCTTAATCACCTCATAACCAAGTGAACAAATTTTGAATTATAAATTCCTAAAATCTCCCTCCTAATCGTTTGTCTTTCCTAAAATCTCTTCTCTCTCCCACTAGTCTAAACTCACATACACCATATCCTTCCACTATATATAGGTGTTAGTTACCTTTGTGTTTATGAAGACTAATAAAATTGTAGAAGTTTATATATACATTTAGATCTATCAAAACATCCATGGTGATACTAAAATGCAGATATTTGAGGAGATATTAAGATGCTAAAGTCCCAATATTTTACTTTGTTAAATTGACTGTCTCATGAAAATTTCATTCTTTGTATGTGTTGATTTTTTTGACTTTTGAAGGTTAATTGTGTAATTTTAAGCGTGCCAGCAAGAATCAATAAGTCCTTACAGAATTTATAATTGTCAACCAATTATTAGATGATTGTGTTGAAGTTCTTTCAGCCTCAATGAAGAGGACTTTTACTGGTGGCTTATTTTAAGAGAAATTTATAAGAAATAACAAGTACATAACAATTTAGAAACTGAATTTTATTGAATGAATAAGAACTTACAATGAAATGACTCAGTCTTGAAAAGATTTACAGCAACGGGTACTTTGAGAACTACTCCTAGGAAATAAAGTATAGTATAGGAATTGAAATGTTGAAATGTAAAGAATTGGAAATATAAAACTGGAAAGAAAATATGAAGTAAATGGCTGGTTTCTGGATCTGAGCCTGGCTCCTTTCTGTTTAGCCTTCTCTGCTATTTATACTCTTTAGTGATAACCGTCGAAGTGGTTTCTAACCGTTGAAATACGCTTCCACGATCTCTGGTCATGGCTTCGCTCAACTAGCTCCCACTACGCCTCTTTTGCAGTTAGGCTTCCCTTCTGAATTTGAATTTGAATTTGAATTGTAGGTAACCGTTAGATTACGTCATCTCACGCCTCTTGACTATTCCGATGCCACGCAGATCCGATACTACCAATATGAACTGCCACGTGTTTATCTTTGATTGGAGACTTGCATAATTCTCCAAATTGCCTTTTAGGTGCCACGTGTCACTCTGCGATTGACTTTTACAAATCATACAGCCAACATTACCCCTTGCATTAATATACCCAATACTTGGTGATATTAGTAGACTAGTGCACTCTATCCATGTCCTAAGATGTGCATGGACTTTGTATATTCTGGAAGTGTAACCACTTTTTGAACAATGAAGCAGTGATTTCATTAAATCCTTGTGCTTTGCACTTCCATGCTCTGAGTAGACGAAAGGACTGGTACATCCCCGATGGCCAATCACACCTTCTCTTACATTGATTGAGCATACAAGGAGTCTTTGGAAGATGATTGCAAGCCTTGAAAGAACTTTAATGCATTTATTGGCTACAGTTATCCGCCTCCATTTATACAAGTCATCGAAGCTTTCACAAGTTACCAACCTTTAGACCAAGAACTTGCCAACTACAAACCTTTGGACCAAGCATTTGCAAAAATGGATCTTAGAAACTCCTCCTCAGCCCCACAACTCTCCGTATGGGATGAAGTCGCTTCTTTTTCCTCCAAGTCCACTGGATGGGGAAGTTGGTCAACACTTGCTGAACCCCAAATAAGTTAGCGGATTCATCATCGATTTGTTGAATTTGATGATCCTCTTTCCATTCCTCCTTCTACTCGGAGCTCAGTGGTTTATCCCTATATACCCCTTGATCACCAATGTAGTCTGGAGGACAACTTGCTTGTGGCATGGTACACATCTTCCATGCCAGTGAGGATAGTGTGGAAAACTCCTCATCCAGACGAAGCATGGGGATTTAATCCGTCACTTTTGGCTAAGAAGGCGAAACTTTGCTCTTCTGATTGGCTCGAATGTGTGAATGACCCCCAGTTCCCCTCTTCCTTTGAGACAGACCCCTCTGCAGCTCATTTCCTTCAGAATCCTCATTGGATGGAGAAATTGAAACTTACTCTCTTCGAAGGTTAGTTTATCTTCCTACCAACCTCCAGTTCCTCCAACTGCATTTGAGCAATACAAAGCTCAGCTTCTCCCGTTGACAATGTGAATATTCACATTGACATGTTAACATTCACATTGATAGGAGTGTAAAATTAGCCCGCACCTCGTAACTGCCCGAAACCAGCCCACGGCCCGTGGGCGGGCCCAGCCCGGCCTGTTGACAATATGAATGTTCACATTGACATGTTAACATTCATATTGATTACAGTATAAAACTAGACAGTAGCCTAGGGCGGGCCCGATTCGGCCCGGCCCGGCCCATTGATAATGTGAATATTCACATTGACATGTTAACATTCACATTAATAGGAGTGTAAAATTGGGTCCCGTCCCGTGGCGGCGCGAAACCCGCCCGTGGCCCATGGGCGGCCCGGGGCGGGCCCGGTCCGGCCCGTTGACAATGTGAATATTCACATTGACATGTTAACATTCACATTGATAAGAGTATAAAATTGGCCCGCAGCTCGTGGGCGGCCCGAAGCCTGACTGCAGCCCGAGGTGGGCTTGGCCCGACCCGTGACAATGTAAATATTCACATTGACATGTTAACATGCACATTGATAGGAGTGTAAAATTAACCCGCGCCCCGTGGCTTCCCGAAACCCGTCCACGACCCGTGGGCCGCCCAGGGCGGGCCCAGCCCGGCCTGTTGACAATGTGAATATTCACATTGACATGTTAACATTCACATTGATAAAAGTGTAAAATTGGCCCGCGGCCCATGGACGACCAAAAGCCCGCCCGCTGCTCGGGGCGGGCCCGGCCCAGCCCGTTGACAATGTGAATATTCACATTGACATGTTAACATTCACATTGATAAGAGTGTAAAATTGGCCCGCAGCTCGTGGGCGGCCCGAAGTCTGATCGCAGCCCGAGGCGGGCTTGGCCCGACCCGTGACAATGTGAATATTCACATTGACATGTTAACATGCACATTGATAGGAGTGTAAAATTAACTCGCGCCCCGTGGCTGTCCGAAACTCGTCCACGACCCATGGGCGGCCCGGGGCGGACCCGGCCCGGCCTGTTGACAATGTGAATATTCACATTGACATTGATAAGAGTGTACAATTGGTCCATCGGGCCAGGGCGGGCCCGGCCCGTTGGCAATGTGAATATTTACATTGACATGTTAACATTCACATTGATAGGAGTGTAAAATTGGCCCGCAGCCCGTGGGCGGCCCAAAGCCCGATCGCAGCCCGAGGCGGGCTTGGCCCGACCCGTGACAATGTGAATATTGACATTGACATGTTAACATTAACATTGATAGGAGTGTAAAATTTGTCCGCTGCCCAAAGCTCGCCCGCCGCCCGGGGTAGGCCCGGACCCAAACTCGGGCCACCCTAGGCCGCCCATGGGACGCGAGTAAATTTTACACTCTTATCAATGTGAATGTTAACATGTCAATG